TTTTGCATAAAATGGGTATCGATTCGATGCAGCTCGTCACGGGGAGTCTAATGGTGGTCTTCGTTTTGCTCTACGAGTTCTAGAATCGCCAAAAATTGAGTTTGAAAATTTGACGTCATCATTTTTGAACAGTTTTTTTTCGCTATAACTTGGCCAAAAAACGAGGTATCGATCTGAAATTTGGTATGTAGATAGAAGACGGTAGGCACTATCACATATATTCCGGTTTTTCGAAACTCAAAAACTTTTTGGATTTTTTGGCGAATATATCCAAAAAATGCTTTTTTGATTTTTGGGGGTCAAAAATCAAAAATTTCACAAATTCGAGATAGCAGTTTTGTAGCCCTGTCAATTCTACACCTTTTATGTCTTGATCATTTTTCTGTATCTTCAAAGCTGTAGTTCTGACAGGTCTTCTTGCGAAGGTCTTTTTTCGGTCGAAAATGACAGAACATGACGTCACTCTGACGTCATTTGTGGCCAACTTATCATAGCCTCTGGAAAATTTTTTGGTCACAATGTGTAAAATTGATGCCCGGAGGGGTCCTGAAAGTTTGGTGGCGATGGGGAGCATTCATTCTGGCCAGGGGTCATAATGTCCTGGGTACGTTATGCCCAGTGTCGAAATGGCCAGTGCCTTAAATGGGCCAGAGTTCATAATGTCCAGGGATTGCATGGTCCAAATGCGGCCAACTGGCTGCAGATAGGGTATATTCAAAGAGGCCAGGGTTCATAATGTCCAGGGGACGATGTGGCCAGTGTTCGAAATGGTCAGGGTTCATAATGTCCAGGGCACGATGTGTCCAGTGTTCAAAATGGCCAGAGTTCATAATGTCCAGGGCACGATGTGTCCAGTGTTCAAAATGGCCAGTGCCTTAAATGGGCCAGAGTTCATAGTGTCCAGGGATTACATAGTCACTGAAAGTGACGTCATTATGTAAAAAACACGGAACCAGCTCAATGCGAAGCAGTGCAGTGCCGAAGGCAATGCCTTAGGAGAGATTACAGGCAATAGTAAATCAAATATTTTTAGGTTAAGTGGTTATGTATCTGGCTTCAGGCCGAAGGCCTGAAGCCTGATGCATAACCACTTAACCTAAAAATATTTGATTTACTATTGCTTGCAATCTATTCATGCGAGAAACTATTTCCTTATCCCCGGTAGGCAAACATCATTACCTTAGGTTAGGTTAGGTTAGGTTAGGTTAGGTTAGGTTAGGTTAGGTTAGGTTAGGTTAGGTTAGGTTAGGTTAGGTTAGGTTAGGTTAGGTTATTTTAGGTTAGGTTAGGATAGGTTAGGTTTGGTTGGGATGGGTGGACTATGTAATCCCTGGACACTATGAACTCTGGCCCATTCAAGGCACTGGCCATTTTGAACACTGGACATATCGTGCCCTGGACATTATGAACCCTGGCCATTTCGAACACTGGACACATCGTGCCCTGGACATTATGAACCCTGGCCATTTCGAGCACTGGACACATCGTGCCCTGGACATTATGAACCCTGGTCTCTTTGAATTTACCCTATCTGCAGCCAGTTGGCCACATTTGGACCATGTAATCCCTGGACAATATGAACACTGGCCAATTCAAGGCACTGGCCATTTCGAGCACTGGACACATCATGCCCTGGACATTATGAACCCTGGCCTAAATAATACGCACCCCCCTTAGGGTATATTCAAAGAGGCCAGGGTTCATAATGTCCAGGGCACGATGTGTCCAGTGTTCAAAATGGCCAGGGTTCATAATGTCCAGGGCACGATGTGTCCAGTATTCGAAATGGCCAGGGATCATAATGTCCAGGGCACGATGTGTCCAGTGTTCAAAATGGCCAGTGCCTTGAATGGGCCAGAGCTCATAATGTCCAGGGATTACATAGTCACTGAAAGTGACGTCATTATGTAAAAAAAAAAACACGGAATCAGCTCAATGCAAAGCAGTGCAGTGCCGAAGGCAATGCCTTAGGAGAGATTACAGGCAATAGTAAATCAAATATTTTTAGGTTAAGTGGTTATGTATCTGGCTTCAGGCCGAAGGCCTGAAGCCTGATGCATAACCGCTTAACCTAAAAATATTTGATTTACTATTGCTTGCAATCTATTCATGCGAGAAACTATTTCCTTATCCCTGGTAGGCAAACATCATTACCTTAGGTTAGGTTAGGTTAGGTTAGGTTAGGTTAGGTTAGGTTAGGTTAGGTTAGGTTAGGTTTGGTTGGGTTGGGTTGACTATGTAATCCCTGGACACTATGAACTCTGGCCCATTCAAGGCACTGGCCATTTTGAACACTGGACACATCGTGCCCTGGACATTATGAACCCTGGCCATTTCGAACACTGGACACATCGTGCCCTGGACATTATGAACCCTGGCCATTTTGAACACTGGACACATCGTGCCCTGGACATTATGAACCCTGGCCTCTTTGAATTTACCCTATCTGCAGCCAGTTGGCCACTTTTGGACCATGTAATCCCTGGACAATGTGAACACTGGCCAATTCAAGGCACTGGCGAATTCGAGCACTGGACACATTGTGCCCTGGACATTATGAACCCTGGCCTAAATAATACGCACCCTTTAGGAGATATCGACCGAAAAGGACAGGGGGGGCCGTTTCGGCCCCCCTACGGGGCGCGGGTTAACCACTTTTGTGACCTGAGCGGCTCTGACCTGACCTTGACCCGAGGTCAAGGTCACCTTAACCCTATTCCTGGCGGGCTCCGCCGGGACAAGAAACTGGCGGGGGGGGGCCGATTCGGCCCCCCCCCCCCTGAGATCTCGAGAACGAAGCAAGATAGCGACAAGCGGTAAACGGCATCGGATACGCACGGCCAAGATCTACAATTTTTACTAAGGTCATTTTCAGGTCAGGTCAAAGATGACGTCACAGGGGTCGAAAAAGTCAAAATGGCGGCACTAGATATGGAGAGAGTTTTTCTCGAATAACTTTCGAATTAGTCAAGATAGGAACAAACTAAGGGCATCATCGTGATCCTCTCGTCAATCCGCATCGAATGATATATATGTTGACCTCGAAAGGTCAAGGTCAAAGGTTGACCTCAGGTCACGTGACATCGAGGTCATCATGTATATCATTCGATGCGTCTTGACGAGCTGAACACAATGAGACCATCCACGCGTCTGTATCTTGTTCCTGTACGGAGTTATTGGCCAAAAACCTTTGGTGACCTTTGATGACGTCACATGACCTCACAGCTGCCCAACAGCAAAACAGACCTCAAGGTAGTGAAGGTTGATCGTATATGAAGTCATGTATGGTATATGGGGCCATTCCGACCCGTTTTAGTGGTAAAAACAGGGAGTTGATTTTTCCCCCATTGACTTATAATGGGGAGGTCGCGAAATTGACCTGACCTTAGGTCACCGATATCAAAATTCCGAGATATACAAATTGCACATACTGGTACCCTAACTAAACCATGAAGAGAAGAAATTGATCGGTCAAAAACTCTAGCTCTGGCGTGATTGCAAACTTTTCTGAGGTAGCGTCACCAAACCGCCTCTGGTGACCTGACCTGAGGTCAGATCAACTCAAAATTTTCAGACATGTTGCGTAGAAGCCTTTTAGGAAAAGTCACAAAATTTGAGTTTCCTAGCTCAACGCGTTTGGGAGATATAACCAAAAAACCTCAGGGGGGGCTCCTGAGGCCCCCCCCCCGCCAGGAATAGGGTTAAGCTGACCTCACCGGAACAAAAAGTAGGTAGGTATACCATTCGACGCACCTGAGGTAGAAAAGAAGACTAAGAAAACACCATGTTGTCAAATCACCCTTCTGACTTTGCGATCATTTTTGGCGAAGTTATTTACCAAAAACGGAGCCCCATGCCTTGGGCAGCTTGACCTGACCTGACCTCAGTCCTCAGAGGCCACCGGTTAGCTTCAGACCAATCGGGTATCAATCGCTTCGTCTCGTAACGGCGCACACTCGCTTCTTTTTCCGCGAGGCTCTAACTCAATAAGGAGAAATCTGTGAGCGGGGGTGGTATGGTAGTATTATCCCCCCCCCCCCCCCATCGGCCGAGGCATGTAAAAAAAGGCCTCCGACGAGGATTAACCCACACCCCGCGGGGGCTCCTAGATTTCCACGCCTTGCCGGGGGTTGGGGGACGAATGTGTTTGAACTGAACACCCCTCCCCTTCTAACTCGGCTCCTGGGCCACGTAGCGATACCTACGGGGTACCTATAGAATGGGCGGTCGAAAGAGCGTCGATAATAATGACGAAATTACTTCGGTGACCCTTTTTGGTCCGGTCAAAGGTCAGGCCACCAGAGTTGATCAAAGGTCAAATTACGCCATTTTTTTTTTGTCCAATGGCAACAATTTTCGAAATGGCGCGTAGGCAACTCGGAAACCAGTAGACTAGAGCCACAGCGCCTCGGTAAAGCGCATTTGATAGCCCTATTATCGCTCTTTCTAAATAAATTTCTCGGATTTTACCTAACTCATTCGCTTGCAAAGTGGCAAAACCTAAAAAAATCGACGATTTTTGCGGAAACAGCTTGATGCGTGGGTTAAAATAGGTTTTTGATGTCATATTAGTAGATGATTATTTAATTGCTTTTATACTATACAATTTAGTACAAGCAGTTTTTGATTTTTGAAGTGTGTTTATTGCGCAGCTGTGACAAAAAAACCGCAGATTTTACTTGTTCAACATTTTTCAATATCGCGAGTGAGCGCTGAGAAACGGCAATACCTGCTCATGATTGCATATTTCCTGCTGAAAATAGGCCTAATACGTCATCACCACTGATTACTGAACACCTTATCTGTGTTCCTGCCTCAGCTGTGTGCACTTTTTTTTCATTTTGAAATCAAAGTCAGTAGGCGGAACTTGGGCGGAACTATGGTCATGAGTACCCAAATATAGGAACGTTCCCATTTTTGGGAACGGAGTTCCCAAATATGGGAACGGACGTTCCCATTTATGAGAACGGAAGGTAATTTTTCGGCCGTTCGCCCACTAAAACTCAAAAGTGCATCACGTCTCAAAAAAGTGCACGCTGATTTAAGTATCTACTAAATCTCCATAAATTTATCTTTAATCTGACCTTGGAACAAGGAAATTGACCGTGGAATGATATTTTTAATGATTTTTTAAAAATGACAATGGTGGAAACATGGGTTATACGCAGGGGCGTCGCCACGGATTTTTGAGTGGGGGGGTCGGGTTTCTAGTCTTCACCCGATGGGTAGGGGTGTTTTTTTTGCCACACTTCCCAGTTTTGTGCGTGCGTATGTGTGTGTGTGCGTGTGTAACAAATCGGCGCGCAGCGCCGCCAAATTTGGTATAACCTATTAGGTAGGTATACCTACCTACATCACTTGCGTAAAAATTATCACTGGTCACTTAAGGTCAGGTCGCCATGTCAAGTTCAGTTATATGGTATACCTCTATATAAAAACTGTCCTGAGTTTCCCCTCTCGCCATTCTTGTAGCTTTTCTCCCATAACTTCGAAATTTGGTACACTGTATAGGTACCTAATGTATGGGGTTATACGTGTCAGCAATTCATGATTCTAACTGAGGATTTACATCTATGATCTGAAGGCAGGTCAAATACGTGACCTCATCATTAGAAAATAATGAGAAATTAGAAAAAGCACGAATGCCTCCTGCTTTGAAAAAGTTCGTCAGAAACGCAAAATATCTTTGGAGCCATGACAAATCAGCTCATTCATTGCCAGGGACAGGGTGCAACTTATGGCGAGTGATGACTCGAAAGGTCATTAGTGGAAATGTCCATCGATGGCCACCAGCATTTTTTTCTACAACTTTTGACGAAGACGCGGTAGAGCGATGACAGCACCTGGAAGGTGTTCACTGTTCAGCTCAACAACACGGATCCATTCATATGCAGCAGGAGGTCCTTTTTCGATCAGGACATAACGTTGACCTGAGGTCGTTTTAACGGTAATTCTGAATGGTCAAATTTTAACTCATGTGACGCGTCTCAAAGAGATCAAGACGGTGGTGACAAGACAACATACGTACATACCATACAAATTCACGGAATCGAAAGTTATTGCAAAGCAGATGTTTCGGCAGAATCTGTCCAGTTAGCTGTTTGCCTTCTTATGGGCCAAACATAGACCTGAGATGAAATCTAACGCGAAGCTAGCGAAAGAGCGTTAAAAGAGCTATCGAATAGTTTTCTGCTTCACTGTAGCCCTTCTATTGGTGGTTTCCCAGTCGCTAACGTATTTAACGTATACTAAACTAACGCTGAGGCATGCTTTCGACCCCTGATCGATCTACAGGTTTGCGGAAAAAAGAGCATGCTGCCCGTGACGAGAGAAAGCCGATGGTACCCATTTACAAGTTTTCGGGTCATCTCAGGACTCAGGTCATCGCCAATAAGTAGAGAAACTCGGGACCTGCTAGAACTTAACGAATGTAAGTTGTGATGGTTTTTCGAGGTTCTGATTACGAATGTTATCTTAGTTTTGAACGAAGATGATGACTCCATGCATTTGGGGTAGATCAGGTCAGGTCAGAACGACCAGTACCTAATAGTGGATGACCACCACCGATTGCTTCCTAGCATGTTATATGAATAAGCAACACAACTACTTCTTAAATGTTCAGATGGGCGCTAAGTTCAAAATCAGCTCCAAAAACTACCCTATCAATTAAAAGCATGTTATGAAAAAGTGAACTAAGGTCATCTTTATTTGAATCAGGGATATCGATTTATTTTAAGTAGGTGATTAACTCGAGCGCACCGGAAGTTTTGTTGCAATCGGCTCCTTTTTGCGCGACTTCTTTGCGAAAGCCCGAGACGGTTCCATCTGACTCCCTTTCCCCTACATGTGCACTGTACAGCTAGTTGTGACGGTAGCCATGGGGCTGAGGCTAGTTTGTAGTTTTGTAGTTAGGTACTGATCCGACGAATCGACTGCGACCATTTTTTTTTAAACGATCAGACGAACGCTCGGGGCAGTTTTGGCGCGTCCAATCCTTTGAGGGATAAAAAGGTATACTAGGATGGGGGCTACTTAAAAACATTGTTGTGCTGGTGTTCCCCGCCCACAGCTAATTGACCTTTAGGTAATTGGCTAATTGGCTTTAGGGAGCTCTTGAAGCGATTTTGAATCTGATGTATTTGTTGGTGTTGCTGACGCATGCTTCACTGACATAAAAGCTAAAAAAGCATACTCAGCATCGCAAAAAGTGGGGGGGGGGGGGGTCGACACCCCCAGTTTTCAAGAGTGGGGGGGTCACGACCCCCCCGACCCCCCCGTCGGCGACGCCCCTGGTTATACGACATTTAACATGCAATTTTAAGGAAAATGAAGCATTTTTTACATTTTGAGTTCAAGTATAATAATTTTCGCCTGGTTATGAAGTTTCATTCTAGCGACACCAGATGCTGACATATGCAAGCGAACACGCGGACAGTCCCGAGGTAATATTGACTTTTGGTGTCGGGGCGATCGACCGCGTGGAACGTCAGTGATTTTACCGAACTACTGTTGTAAACTCAGTTTCAGTGGTTTAAAATCATTCAGCTGTATTTTATCAGCCCTGAAAGACATATTTTATTTGGATGCTAGCTGTTTAGCGTTGTTTTATAAGCAGCTTCATGAGCGTGGTTTTTGTCTTCGGCGTTTCTAAGCATGATCGTTTGGGGGGAATTTCTCTGATATAGGTCGCTCTGTGTGGCTTATTTATAATTTTTATGCTGCTTTCGATCATTCCTCGTGCCCATCCTACCAGGCCTTTTGCCACTTACACTCATTAAGAAAGGAAAAAACTAGATTTTCATTGGGACTAGGTGTTTTGAGGGTGTAACATATTCAGCGTTCCCATTTTTGGATACTTCTTGTGCTCGTCAACTCTCGGTGATTAGCAGACAGGTGCTTGACATGTCTCCACCCTCGGCGCGGACGGTGGATATAGGTATGGAAGACCTTGTTGAACATCGCTGAGCGTTGTGGATTACGTAATCCTGCAGAGGGGGGCGTGCCCGCTGCGAGATCGACGGGAATAAAAGCGCAGAAGACCGGGCGAAACATGCAACGGTCTTGCCGGAAAGGTCATCTGATGATTGTTGCGTTAACAATAATTTGCGGCGTTGGACGTGATGCTTGTTAATGAAAAGAGCCCCTGAAAGGCGTCGGTGAAATCGTTCCCAATTTTGGGTACGCCGTTCCCATAATAAGGAACGCTTGCAGCGCCAGTGTACGAGAGCGTTCCCAAATTTGGGCTCGCGGCCCGGGTGATGGACTGCTTTAGAAATAGGGGAACGATTTGAAACTACGATGGGCCTTACAATATCAAACTCTTTCCCAACAATATTGAGACAACTATCAGGCGGTTCACGATCGTTTTATATTTTTTGGACGTCATTTAACGGTTCTTTTTCTTGTTTTAAATAATGCCTACATGGCGTTCCCATATTTGGGTTTATCGTTCCCAAACATGGGAACGAAAATGCGTTCCCGAAAATGGGTACGCTTGACCATAGTTCCGCCTACTGAAGTGGAGGAAAAAGAAAGAAGCTGAAGGACTTATATTTTGTGCTGGTGAGTTAATTATCAAAGGCAATGTAAAATAAATTGTTTCATTGAACAGTCCATTAGGCATTAATGCTACCTTTAAGCTATGTGTGCTCTTGATGACAGAGACTGAAATTTATCAAGCTTTACATTTCTTCCCATTGAAGCTTGCATTATGAACCTATGCTATGCCTACATTCTAGGTAAAGGTATGTATTGTTAGGTATTGTTTTTTCATCATTTCAACCATTGCATTTTGCTATTACACTATGCAACAAAAAATGAAAGATTTTCTGTTCCTGGGAAGCGACCGAATTTTTCTGATTCATTGGGTCCTATCCAGGGTTTCGGAATCGGAGTCGGAGTCGGAGTCGCCCGGAGTCGTGGCAAGCAGCCAGGAGTCGGAGTCGGAGTCGGAGTCGGTCAAGCTGCCTCGACTCCGACTCCGGAAAATAACTACATAGAATCTGTGATATCACTTTTCAGTTTTTTTATTTTTTACCAGTTGCCCGCGGTAGAATTCGTTTCCTGCGATAAAAATTGCACTCATCTTGTTTTTGTTCTAAATGACAAACATTGGATCTTACAAGTTTCAAGTTATATCATAATTTCGTAGTCAAGTATTTTGCATGCCTGTTATAACTTCCACTATCTGAAGTATTTGACGAGTCAAAGACTAAATGACAACTGTATTTTTATTTTCTTCGTTTATGTTCCGAAAAGTATCAACACGTAGGAATGACCGACATGATGGCGATGCTCGCGTTCGTGATACGGCCGCCTCTCGGCTTCTCGGCGGGTTTCCACGCTGGCCGCTGACCTCTTGTGGATTCAGCTGCGTCCACGTGGGAGAAATGGTGACTGCACGAAGGAAACCGGAGAGTAGGAGCGTTCTCTCCGTGCACGTAGACCTAGCACGTGGCGTCATATCACGCAAAATTTTGGCAGCCGCCATTGCCATTTGTATCAGACCCGGAGTCGGAGTCGGAGTCGGAGTCGGAGTCGGTCAGGAGCCCGGAGTCGGAGTCGGAGTCGGAACAGCGCTACCACGACTCCGAAACCCTGGTCCTATCATAACCGAAATGGACATTTGTTTTGATCTGAAAATGCTTTTCCGGTTTTCAGAGACGATTCTCGATTTTTGGCCCCGAAATTCGGTTTATGGCCCACCGTGTCCGGTGTAATTGAGTAATCGACTCGTGGTAACTTTCATCGCTTTTCCTGTGCCACAAGCTTTCGAATGATATCCGATTTTGCATATTTGCGTGTAAAAATAACGTCATAAATCTATGTTAAAGTAAGAAAATGTTGAAATTTTGTAAAAAAATTGACATTTTTTTCGTTTTCATTTCAAAATAGAGAAAAAACTAAAGACCCTATCCAAATTCTGAGCCCAGTTCCTTGAAGAGCATTCAATTTCCGTTCGGAAGGTACTTTTTAGTGCATTTTATCGGATTCCTGTGGCGTCCAGATTGAGTTAACCTAAACACATATCCTAGGTCATATCACATACAGGGTGTCCGGAAATTGATTAGCCCTTGGATATTTGGCTATTGCTCCCCTGTGCGCCAACGGAACCAGCGCGATCGAAGTAGGACACGGCCTCAGGGCACGCTCAGCTGTTTGCCGACCACGTGACCGGGTCAGGTGGCCTGGTCACGGCCGCGGTGAGGGGTCAGAGGTCAGTTTCCCCGAAAGGTAGTGCCAGCGCGCGGAGTCGGTATCTGAGATGGTGAAGGAGTGCTCTTTGGCTACGCGCCACGTGCAGTTGGCATGGTGCGCGGCGGCATGACGCAGGCAAGTGTTGCACAGACACTCGGTGTGTCCGTCAGCACCATGAAAATCTGGATGGCTCAAGACCGCCAAGGACAGTCCCACCGAAACCGGACCGGTCGAGGACGAAAGACCGTCCTGACCCGAGTGGCGAAAATTGTTCTCGCCAAAGCTGCCCTCAAAAGACGCCAATCGACAAGGAAGTTGGCCAAGAAACTGACAGCCAAAGGACATGCGGTGTCTAAGACAACCGTCCACAGTTATTTGACGAAGTGCCTCCACCTGAAGCCGCTCAAGCCTCGTCGTCAGCCGAAGTTGACAGAAGCTCAAGAGCTCAAGCGGCTGGCGTTCGCGCGGGAGCGCATCAGCTGGACAATCGAAGAGTGGCGACGCGTTCTCTTCAGCGACGAGTCGCCATTCGAGCTGTGCCATCCGCCGAACCGCCAAAACGACCGTGTCTGGGCGCACACCAGCAAAGAAGTGCCCGCCACGGAGACGGTGAAGCATCCCCGAAAAGTGATGGTCTGGGCCATGATGAGCTATCGAGGGCTCTCCGAGCTGCACATCATCCCGCGAGGCCAGCCCGTGACGGCGGAATATATGTTGAAGAAGTGCTGAAACAGACGGCATCATCGGCGATGGAGCGGACGACGCAGAACGGGCCGCCAACCAGCGTCAAACTTCTGCCAAGGATGTCAGAGGCAATTTTTCAGCAGGACGGCGCACCAGCTCACAACGCTGCCAGGACTCAGGAGTGGTGCCGGGGCAACCTCCCGGGGTTCTGGAAGAAGGGTGTCTGGCCGGGCAACAGCCCTGATCTGTCGCCCATTGAAAATCTGTGGGCGATCGTGCAGGACGAGCTGGATAAGATGGGGCCGGCCACCAACGAATCGGCGCTGGTGAGAAACCTGCAGAAGGCGTGGTCCAGCATCAGCGCTGAGACGCTGAACAACCTGATGTGCGGGATGCCAGAGCGCATGAGGGAGTGTGTCCGACTTGGCGGAGGATGCATTGGCAAATAAACGATGCGCTTCACTTGATTTGTTTGACAGATAAATGATTAAATACAAGGGCTAATCAATTTCCGGACACCCTGTAGCATTAACCTGATAACGTATGTTAACGCCATAGGGTCAACGAGGGGTCAACTGAGGTCATGTTGTTGACCCCTTGTGACCTCGTGTCACACGCAGAAATTTAGTTTTGAGCAGTCCTGTCGCTCAGAATCTTGATCTGTACCTCCATTTGTTAGAATGGTTCTTCATGCACTGAACACATATTGTCATGGAAATGGCTGGGGGCCCGTTTTTCCAGTGACTCAATCTGGACGCCACAGTAAACCGATAAAATGCACTAAAATAGTACCTTCCGAACGGAAATTGAATGCTCTTCAAGGAACTGGGCTCAGAATTTGGATAGGGTCTTTAGTTTTGTCTCTATTTTGAAATGAAATCGAAAAAAATGTCAAATTTTTACGAAGTTTCAACATTTTCTTATGTTTCAGATTTATGACGTTATTTTTACACGCAAATATGCAAAACCGGATATCATTCGAAAGCTTGTGGCATAGGAAAGGCGATGAAAGTTACCACGAGTCGATTACTCAATTACACCGGACACGGTGGGCCAAAAACCTGATTTCGGGGCCAAAAATCGAAAATCGTCTCTGAAAACCGGAAAAGCATTTTCAGATCAAAACAAATGCCCATTTCGGTTATAATGACACCCAATGAGTTCAAAAAAATCGGTCGTTACTCAGGAACAAAATGACTGTTGCATAGTGTTATTGATTATCTGCTCTGTTGTAGATGCCTTACTGTGTATGACTTTTCCCTATTTATTGTTGGCTATAAAGTATACCTAGGTAATTAAAACTTTGTCATTCATGTTTTTAATTTTAATTCTGCAGCTATTAAATGCTTGAAAATAGTTGTTCTGCTGCATATTCCCTGGCCAACTTCTTGATATGCCTACCTATCTCATTGCAGGGCTGAAAGTTTGAAAAATGACAGCTCAGCTGGCTCGTAAGATACACTTATTGCTGCCACGTGCAGACCTGCCTGCTGCATTGCAGTACTTGCAGAAGAATGGTCCAGACTACTGCAGCTATGTTCAACTTCCTGTTGAAGGTTAGGAATATTCTGCTCCCTTCAGAACTGATGAATGTTTCAAAATATAACAATGATTTATCTTCCTCAACATGTGATTTATTGAATTGTTTTGTTCTGTTCTCCATCATTTTTCAAAGTGAAAATGGTTATTTTTCGATCATTATGGCAATATCTTGCTGTTTTTTCAGGATGCTTAAATTACCAGCAATTTTTGAATTCCTGCAATGAAATAGCTTGCAAAAAATGGTCCTTATATGATGTCTGACATAAATGGCTTGCTGATATTTGAGTTGCTGCAGATGGCAGAGATCGTCTCCCTGGGCTGTTGCAGATGGCGCTGCGATCACGGCCGCCGACCAGGCCGAGCTGGCCTCTGCCGAGGTACTGGTCACCACGGCGCCGCTGCTGGGCTCGACGCTCTACTCCCTGCCGAGGCTGCAGTGGGCGCAACTCACCTTCGCCGGCGTGGAGAAACTCATGCAGTTTTATCAGCCAGAAAAGGTAGCTGTTAGTTGTAAGGTAGTTGTAGCTGAGTGACATTCACGCGGTCGGAACTTTATCGCAATCAACCTTTGAGCGCAAAAATATAAAATACACGGAAGTTCGTGGGTGTACCATGGATAGTGTGATCCCTCTGTATGTCCTCTGCCCTGGCCGTCCCACTGACCGGCCTCCTCTGCCCGGCAGCCGGCGCCGCCGTTCGCCGTCACGCGGATGGCCAGCACAGCGTTCAGCCGCGAGCTCGCCGAGTGGGTGCTGGCCGCAGTGCTGGGACACGAGCGAGGCTTCGGGAGGCTGTGGGCGGCCCAGCGGCGGCGCGCCTGGACCCAGAGCACCTACACGTACCGGCCCGTCTCGGAGCTGACCATTGGAGTGCTCGGCACCGGGCAGATGGGGAGAGAAGGTGAGAGGGCGAGAGGACGGACGGGAAGGGAAGGTGAGAGGGCGAGAGGACGGACGGGGAGAGAAGGTGAGGGGACGAGAGGACGGACGGGGAGAGAAGGTGAGAGGGCGAGAGGACGGATGGGGAGAGAAGGCGAGAGGGCGAGAGGACGGACGGGGAGAGAAGGTGAGAGGGCGAGAGGACGGAGCGGATCGAGAGGGAAAGCGGGGACTAGGGCTGGCCAGAAGACAGGGTGGGTTGACGGATCACGGGACTGTAACAATAGAAGGTGGACGATGAACATATGTGAGGATAATACGGGATTGGCGTGAAGGAAGGTCATCAATCGCACAATCTTTTCAATGGGCTAATGCTGCCTGCATTGATGCTGCGTCTGTAAATTGTGATTTTCGCTAACTTTGTGTAGGTTCGTCTCTGTTCAGTGTGCCCCTAGTGTGTGGCGACGGACTATAAGCCATGTTCTCTTTATAAGGTGTTCTCTATAAGCCGGAATGCTGATGGTGCGTTGATCTGACGGCGGCTCTGTTCGCAGTGGGGCTGCTGTTCAAAAAGCTGGGGTGCACCGTTAACGGACTCTCGCGAACGGAGAAACCCGCCGATGACGCATTTGACAACATGTTGTAAGTGGTGATACCGGGGCGGTCGCTCTGCCTTCTTATCGCGATATGCGCTTACGTGGTGAACGTCTATCGCTCAGTAGTCTCCGGATAATAAACATCTCACCGAGCGCGTGATGACCTTAGATAGATGTATAACAAATCATTATATATTGCTTTACCAATCAAGTATTGGATAAAGCAAGCATGGAAATCAATTTTTCAATTTATTTCCATCAGTTTATACAATTTGAGCAACAAACACTTAGCCACCCCCCCCCCCCCCCCTCGCCCCTCTCCTTTTGCAGCACGTCCGATCATCTCTCGGAGTTCCTGCGCTCTGCCGACTACCTGTGCAGCGTCCTGCCGAGCACCCCGTCCACCCGGCACCTGCTGACCGCCGCCCGGCTGGCCGACCTGCCCCGCCGGCCGGTGCTCGTCAACGCCGGCCGCGGAGACCTGATCACTGAGCGGGAGCTGGTGGCGGCCCTGCGCGTGGGCTCGCTCTCCGGCGCCGTGCTGGATGTGTTCGAAACAGAGCCGCTGCCGGCGGACAGCGAACTCTGGGACATGGAGCAGGTGGGTGACGTGGAAATAGGAACAGTGAGATTATGCTGGAAATGGCGTGACTATAGCCATGGTATATGTAACCACACACGATGTGAATTTGTACTTACATCGGATCACGGATGTGGCTTATCACCCTTGTCATTTTCGGTGACACCTGTATTGTCAGACCATCTTTTTATTTGCCTGTGTAACCCTCACTTGTGTGATATACACCTGTGTTACCTACCTCACTTATATGATAATGATATATCCCTGACATCGTGGATGAAATTCACCTGTTTGACATTTTCCTTTGTTTTCGTTATTGCCACCTGAGTGACATTCGCATGTATGACCCTACCTCTGTGCCTACTGCCTCCCCAGGTGACCATTTCGCCGCACGTGGCCAACCTCAGTCGTCCGGAGCTGGTGTGTGCCGCCTTCCTAGAGAACCTGGAGCGGTTCACTGGCGGCCGGCCGCTGCTGCATAGGGTCGAGTGGGACCGCGGCTACTGAGCCAGGCGGGAGGTGGGGACGTTAGCCAGCCGACCTGGCCGGGAGGTAAGGGCGCCCGCCGGTCGGCTGGGTAGAGGGGAAGGGCGCCCACCGGCTGGCCAGGGACGGGTGGGACCGGGCGACTGACGATCGTGCGGTATGTGGCGGCCCCAGGAGCTTTGAAAGAGGTTATTTAGGCGAGATTAAAACCTAGCAGCGAATTGAGGGTATTGATCAGGAGTCGTGACTCGGCTGACTCAGGACTCAGGAAAGAGGTAGCTTGTGGTTGAGTGGGGAAGATACCCGCGGATCGGGTGTTACAAGAACATGACGACAATCCCGAGCTATAATTGCTTACGGACTAAGCACGGGTTATGTCGTTATGTGACTTCATTGGCAGATGCTGGTTCGTTGTTGGGATTTGCACTAGATGCTACGTTTAGAGTTCGACTGCCTGTGGTGGTCGTGAGTAAATGATCTGGCATACCACCGCCTGGGCCGAGTCGTTGGTAATGGCATTGGGCAGTGATACGCTTAAGGGATAGCTGGTAACCCTGCATACGCATAGTAAGCAATGGAACACATCGTGTGGTGCGGTAATGGAAACTACCATATTTCATAAGATAATATGGATGCTCATTGCTCTTTTATATTTGTAGGCATGTGTACCAACCTGACTGTAAGTTAAAATGCGTTTTCTGCATTTGCCGTATTATAACTGTCTAACAATTGTTAGAAATCAATATTTTGAATGTGCAATAAATTGCGATGACTTTTTAACTCCGAATCTTGGGGAAAGACCTTTTTAACAGTCAGCCTACGTCCTACGCCATAGCAGAACGTAGGTATGCACGTGCTACATAGCTATATAAAAAGCCATAGTGTCTTTTTATAACAGTCTGGTTTATTGATGTTTACATAATTTGCACAAAACATTGAGTGGTGCAGCGGGAGCTAAGCAACATCTCAACATTCACTGCAAGATGGCGACGAAATATGTACGAGTATGATAAAAATTACAAGACTCGCTGCCTGTCTACCATATGCAGATGCTATTGCTATGCTACTGTAGTGCAGCACGAGTTCTCACACAGCGCTGATACATATAAAAATGGACGCCCCGTCGCAATGCGACATCCTGCAATACAGGGTGTCCGGAAAGTTCTGGCGCTTCTTTTGGACGTCGTCTAACGCGCGCTGTAATTATTGGACTTTCAACCAATCACCGCAGATATAACCCCTCGTTCACCGCTCAGCTAGGGGTCGCGTAATTATGACCTTGAAACCGTTTTCAGTGCTAGGTATATGTGCGAAGATGCGCTCGTCGCTGAGAGCCCGCGCGCGGGGGCCCGGTACGGCTTGAACGAGGCGCGAGTTGCAGCGCGATGCGGCGTTTCCCGGCGAACGGTTGAGCAGGCAAAGGTGCATTCCGGACCGGAAATTTCTTAGAAAATATTCTCACTCAGTTACGACCACGGTATGTCAAAGCTGTTGAGACTGAAGCAGCATTTCAGCGGCAATCGAAGAAAATCTGGGGTCTGGTGGACACAAATGTAACATCATCTTCGTCAAGGTCAAATAAATGACTGACAGGCTGGTCCACGAGGGGTTCCTGGACACGACAATCAAGGTGACTTGCCCTAAGGGTCATTTCGCACTTTAACAGCTCCAACAACGCCGCTGCCGTCCAAACCAAACTGAAAGAGGAGCTTGGCGGACCAGATCACCGTGGTGAAATGAGATTAGGCCACCTTATTATCCCAGCATTAACCCGTTCGACTAAGGCATGCTACGCGTTTTGCAGAATAAGCTCTAGGCCACCTCTCATCCCAGCCTGGAGTCGCTGAAGACTCGCATCATGACAGCATGTGAGGAGAGGAAATGTCCTGCGTCGTCAAAACCCGCAGGCGTTTCCGCCCTTGCGTCGAGGCCGTCGTCGGCACAGACGGTGGTTACAATGAATGGGCACTTAGCAGAAGCATGTGGCTTGGTGTTCCTGGTCATTGTTTGGTTCTATTGTTGAGTATCTATGGACCAAAGGCATTTTTATTTTAAAAATGTTGAAAAGCGCCAGGACTTTCCGGACACCCTGTACAACTACCACACTGCTCAAACTCAAACTCCGCCCATCGGGAAACTGAATCAGGCCCCAAAGCGCAACACAAAACTTGCGACGCTTCAGTAAAAATATCTACCATCTCACGATTTACCCATAAGCATGCGTTGGCGGTAGCACGACATCTGGGTAGTGGGTAGGTAAGTTATACAGATGTAGTAATCGAGATTCAAAACCAAACGCTTCCATCACTCACGGTGGTGCCACTTTATAGTGCATTCATATTTGAAAGAAAGCTGGTTATATTTGCGCTCACTAAGCCCTACATGTCCGATCCAGTGATAACGACTAGGTTGGCGCACCAAACGCGCCCAAGCGTTTTTAATTTATCGCGGAGCGCTGATCCAGAACCAAGCTGCGTCACAGGTTTCCCAGCTGCACTCAGCCCCCACGCCGAGCCCTCACTGTGCTGGCACCGCAACACTTTGTCCTTGGGGCAGCAGCCAACTCGCAAAGGCTTATCAAAATCACTTCATTCACGAGCGGCAGCAAAAAGGCACAAACATATTGTGACCAGAGTTACAAAACGACCACACCCTATCGGATCACACCTTCATCACACGCAATGATGAAATTGTTTTCGCTCGCCTCAGACTGTCTCCTCGAGGCGTACTCAGCTCCTCAGAAACTAAAAGTCTCGCATTATCTGCGTGACCAAAGGCACTCTGTGAACACGCGTTCCGCTGTCTGTGGTGACCTCAGGTCAGCTGTAACGTCTGGTGACCTCAGATTAGCTGTAACCTCTGTTGTGACTTCACTGACCGCTGTAGTGACCTCACGGCTAGTTGTGTCCTCTGCGGTGACCTCAGACTCACTGCGATTGCTAATGTAACCTCAGGTCAGTTGTGACCTCTGTGATGATCTCGGATCAGCCGTGACCGTCTGGTCAGCTCAGGTCATGACCGCCGAGAACCCGTACCCAGTGGGCGCGTACTGCAGCGAGCTGTCGGTGCTGAAGGGGATGAAACCCTCCTGTTCCGTGTCGGCGGAGCTGGTGACGGGCCGTTTGACCGGTTTGGTGTTACCGCGAAACTGGAACACAAACTGCAGCTCGCGGCTGATCTCCGTCAGCAGAGGCACCTGGCGGCGGGCGGGCGAACCACGGTGGCGTCAGATAGGTCAAAGTGTGTGCCAGTTCCCCGGATCTGGCACACAGTGCAACCGGGGAACGGGGAACTGGCCGACTGAAAATACTTTCAATTCACATTATTTTACTTCATATTGTGATAGACGTGGCTGCTAAAGGCACCGACACTTATCCTACCCAACAGCAGACAACTACTGAATTAATTCGTAATGTACTGTGTGATGCACCGCTCCATTTCAGCTGAGCTGATACTGATCAGGAGGCCTCATACCACCTTCAATCTTATTCGGATAGTACCCAGCCCCCTGGACAATTCTCACCCGTTCTTCCCGGCTGGTTTTGTAGGCCTCCAGCACAAACTCGGCTATGCTGACCAAGGTGGCCACACAGAGACCCAGCACCAGACACACGAACACGCCGCCCACGTTCTTCAGCGACAGCGGGGCAGTGGCCGTGCTCTCCTTGGCCTGGCGAGAGGAGGAATGGAGTGAATGGGAGCACGTGTGACTAGTGTAGGGGCGTCACCGATCTGGTACAGCGGCAGGATGTCTGCTATGGGTGGTGGTCAAACTCAATGTTTTGGCCGTTTCGGCGGCTCTTTGCTTTTTAATTAGTGGGCAGTCTTGCAGGCAGTAGAACATTGTACCTACACTTATAAATTCGGCCCGTATTTTTTTTTTTTTTTTAATTCAAGTTCACATACTCCCGAGACTTGTTGGGCAATTGTCAGCTTGGTTCTCAAATCACATTTGACAGCACACGTCACATCACACTTGACGCCACTAGGCAGCACAACTGACGTCACCAAACGACACAGCTGACGTCACAGTTGAACTCACGTCGCAGTTCACTCCTCCGGTTTCTCCCTTCCACCACTTGTGCTTCAGTTTGGAGAGGTAGCCCTCCTCCTGCAGCTGGATGATGGTGACGCTCAGGTCGGAGGCCTGGATCGGCGACTCTGAAACGAACGGTTTGGCGTGAGCGAACGGGAGTGAGTTCACTTGGCATCACAGCCTTGTGACAGGGATTGTTATGAAGAAAATAAGGCTGCATCTATTTTGGTCTTTAGCCGCACTGGCAATTGTAGTCGAAGTTTCGAGACCTCACAAGATCCCGATGACCTCCACCGCCTCCGTTGTCTGACTCACGGGGTCCGACGCCGATGCCGTAGCCCTTGTTGTCAAGGAGGCCGCCGACCTGGGTCAGCTGACAGCGGCGCGCCACGTAGTACTCGATCGACGACGACTCCATGAAGTAGGCGAACTTGCCGTTGGCCTTGATGACGCTGTTGATGCCGTCCTCGTCGCTGGCTCGGAACTCCTCTGTGCTGTTCATCACTTCCCACATCTCCATGTAGGGCTCCACCTTGGAGCGCCTGCCGCAAACGGTGCCGTGGTCAACCAAGCAGCGATCCATGAGTCAGCCATGATAAAAATCACACTACAATCAAACCCAGATATCTCAACATTTGTAAACAATCGAGCTTTTTAGCGGTGAGTCAGACCAGACAAAAGCGAGGATGGACGCTTTACACGGCTCTCGCAACTCATTCAGCAGCGCGGATGGTGTCCCCAATGCATTGCCAATATAGACCAATTCCATAATCCGTCCGCCCGAGTCCCGGCGCCGCGTCACTCACTTGAAAAAGTCGGCCGTGGATCCCTTCTCGTAGAGCCCGTACTTGATGTGTTTGTTGCGCGGCTTCACCAGGTCGCCGACGCTCTCGATGGGCGAGTACCGCGTCTCGATGGTGAGGAAGGCGGCCAAGTTGGCCGTGTAGGAGGAGATCATGATGAGTGTGAAACCCCACCAGATGCCGGCAATCATGCGGGTCGACATGGCTCTGGGGAGGCGAACGAACGAGGAGGCTGGAGTTACAGAACTGGCAGCGAGGAAAGGGGAACGAAAAGCTGGTAATACGATGGCGAACTTTATGAAAACTGAAACCCTCGGCGTTCGACAGAACATAACTAATTACGTGCCAAGAGACAAGAGACTGATCGATAGAGACAATAGTTTAGGAATTAGATGCGTATAACAATTTTTGATGTTTCAACATTCAACAACGTCAGCATAGGTCCTGCAACTTCGAGGTGTTTCATGCTGCTTCAAATAGCCCTCCGTCGTACATTTTATCGGCTACCATGTTCTGTATCCTTTCGAAGTGAATTGATTTAGCTGATTTATGTGTGCCAAAAGAAATTTTGAAGGTAAGCTGCTATGTCCAAAGCGCGTAGATTGTAGACGTTTTAGGATTATCTGCTCTCAGGAGAAAAATATATAACCTAATTGCATGGTTTTGACTGTTCATCGTGCCAAAATAATAGTATTTCGGATTGATCAACCTCATTCTTATATGGCTGAAAAAAAAATATGATTGTGATTTGTAGGCATCATAACTTTGCGAGGCATAATTTCTAGCTTGCTGTCTGTGTAAATGAATGGCAGTTATTTGTTATGGTTATTTACCCTGCACTACAACAGGTTAGGACACGTGATCTACCAATAAAAACTGCTTCAGCAGCCGGCGACTGCGCTAAGATTGAGTCCATTACGGCGCGCCCCATGCTCGAGATGCGCCGAGCCGTTTTCTGGAGCAGCGACTCGGCGTTTGCCAGCTACCGATTAATGCCTTCAGTTTACTGCGGTGCAGACATGCAGTTTACCTGTGACGGCACATTTACACTCGCACACGCACACACGTGACGTCACACACACACGGGAGAGATGACGTCACTGGCCGGAGCTAAAAACGAGCTGTCACTCCCGCTAGTCATCACGAACTGTTAGCAGCCGCTCATTCTGGGCTGGATCCTCTTACTTGGGCGCAATATCGGACCCCTGCTGCATGAGCGAACCAATGGCAAACCAGAAGCTGTTGCGCGTGGTTAGAATGTTCTCGAGCTCCTCGGGCTCGTCGTCGCAGGGGTGCGGGTTCTGCCACTCGTAAGGACTGAATCTGCAACACGCGGTACGGGTCAGAGCTGGTCGGTCCAGTCCGGCCAGGTCCATCTCTCCCTCCGGGGACTGCCGCTGCTCCTCCGTCCGTCTGTGAACAATGGGAGGTCAGCGCATCAGCGGCGGCGGCCGGGCGGAGGGGGCTTACTTGGGCAGGATGTCGGATCCCTGCTGCATGACGGAGCCGCAGCTGAACCAGAAGCTGCTGCGGATGCCGAAGCTGTTGGTGAGCGTCGTTTGGTCGGCGTGGCAGGGGTGCGGCACCGTCCACTCGAACGGACTGAACCTGCGGAACAGGGACTGAAACGGACTGACATGGACTGACCGAAATTGATCAGACTGAGACACATGCTGAGACTGACTGAAACGGATTGAAAGACACTGACGCGGACTGTCTTTGACTAAAAATGACTATCACACAACGACAGGAACTGAATTGTACTCAGATCGACTAATTTAGACTCACACGGACTGACTCGGACTGACACATATTGACACAGACTTATTCGGACTGAAATGGATTGGGGCGGTCTGCATTACATGTAACGGACTGAGACGGACACAACACAACATTGCTAGAGGCGAGTTAAAACGAACCGTGAGTGCTTTGGATATGTTATCATGAGTTCTAAATGAGAAAAGCGAATAGGGCATAAACGAAATGTTTTCGCTGTCTTCAGTGATGGGCGATGGCACGTTATCGCATACGTATGTACCATGGGTTTCCATAAATAGCATTCTTGAGACATCTAAGGAAACCAAAGGATTTAACAATAAATAGCCGGGAAACCACTACGTCTTGTTAGGGGTGAATGAAGGTGTTTACATTCACGAAACATTTGTGCCACCTGAACTCGTCAGATCGCGCTTATGTTTAAACTACTGGTTGGAAAAGAAATGAAGAGCCTGAATTTATTGCCGCGATGGACTGCTATGTACTGCGAGAAAGAGAAGAGAAAGAAGAGTGAATATGAGTGCGAAGAGAGAGAGAGAGAGAGAGAGAGAGAGAGAGAGAGAGAGAGAGAGAGAGAGAGAGAGAGAGAGAGAGAGAGAGAGAGAGAGAGAAAGAGAGAGAGAGAGGAGAGAGAGGGAGAGAGAGAGAGAGAGAGAGAGAGAGAGAGAGAGAGAGAGAGAGAGAGAGAGAGAGAGAGAGAGAGAGAGAGAGAGAGAGAGAGAGAGAGAGAGAGAGAACACCCCATACATTTTTTGTTTGCTACAGCTGTTGTTTGGAAAGACTGCGGACTGCGGAGTCACAATGGCCCAGGTGGCCCGCTTGACCCTTTTCTGGCCAGTTTGGGACCCTCTGCTGGCTGTTGACGGAAATTGGGGTAAGCCCGCGGCATGACCGTTTACAAGACCTGCTGTGAATTCAAGGATGGTCTACCTACAGCAGAAAATATCGTGCAACTGAACTGAGCCCCCTGACCTAGACTGAACGTTTGCGAGCGACACGACCTACCTGGCGAGGACGAACATGAGCAGCGACACGACCTACCTGGCGAGGACGAACATGAGCAGCGACACGCCCACCATGGCCATGCCCATGTAGGCCCACACCTCCTTGGAGAAGGGCGCCAGGAACGAGAACAGCGACGGCGGCTGCTTGGAGGGCTTGGTGTACACCATGCTGATACCTGACGGTGCGCCACATGTGCGTCATCGTCATCGTCATCATCATCATCATCATCATCATCATCATCATCATCATCATCATCATCATCATCATCATCATCATCATCATCATCATCATCATCATCATCATCATTATTATTATTATTATTATTATTATTATTATTATTATTATTATCATCATCATCATCGTCATCATCATCGTTGTCAGCATCATTATCATCATCATCAGCCGCTCACCGAGGCTCATCCACTGGGTGGTGAAGTTGATGGCCTTTCCTCTCGTGGCCGTAATGGTTAGGTCAGCGATGGCGAGATGCGCTTTCTGAAATCACGGCAAGCGTCACCAAAGACAGAATATCCCCGCACCCCAGCCTCCTCGTGTTCCCTCCCCCTCACTGGCTTCTCTCGTGTCTTACCCCTCTCACCAGCCTGTTCTTACTCTAATCCCTCTCGGCCAGTCAGTCTCAGTCTCTAACTCTCACAGGGGCCTGCTCCTCAGTCGCCATCTCACCATCCCTCCTCTTCCCTCATTTTCTCATCAGCTTTTCATTTCTCGCCTTCTCGCCATCTCCAGTCGCTCACTGTTTTACCAGCCCTCCTTCCCTCTCATTCTCTCACCCCCCCCGTATCTCACCCCGCTGAGGAGGTCTCCGATCATGCCGTTCCAGTGCCCCTCACTGTCCGGCTTCCCGGCGGTGCCCTCCGGGTTGACGATCAGCGTGTAGTTGAAGTTGTGGATCTCGGCGAGCCTGTCCATCAGCTCCACACAGATCCCCGTGTAGCGGTCGTTGCCGTGCTTCTGGTCCGAGGATGGCTTGAGCATCGTGTATGGCGGCTTCTGCGGGTCGGTGGAGGGAAAGGGAGGGAGAGAGGGGGGAAAGAGAGAGAGCGTGAGCCTGACGGTAGATATGAGGCTTGATAATGGGCTAAGGGCTTGTTGTTTTGGGAACATGTTGTTCTAGTTATGAGAAGTAGGAACCATCACATGCATTATCCACGTTTATATTTCGTAAAAGAATGGTCTCAGTGGCTCTATAACTTACCATGACTGTGGTAACGATGATGGTTTGATTTTTCCTGTTGATGATCTCTGCCAGGTCGAAGTTCATGGTCTCTATGCCGCTTGGCGACCACGATCCAATCTTTACCTGAAAATGGCGCCGGTTGGATGTTACAATGCTAGGTATTTGGGAAAATAACACCTACTAGACAAAAGCCGTTTCTCTGAAAAGTTCCCTGTGGTGAATTGTTGTCTACTTAGTTGAAAGTAAATGGCAACATTGGAAACGCATGTATTGATGTTCATAATCATTAGGTATGCGCGTTTGTAATTCAGCAAAAGTTGCGTATTCTGCGCGTTTATTATTCAGCAGAAGTTGCATATTGCATTTTCTACTTACCAGTGCGGGCTCCTGGAGCTGGATGATGTCTAATTGAAACGAGCGCCTCAGTCCGTCCGAGTCGAACGAAACGTGTCCCGTCAGACCATCGAACTGAACCTGTAAAATGGAGCACAGGCCATTGAACTGAAGTTGTGACGAAAAGTGAAAACCGTAACTAGACAGTGATCAACAGATTTCATTCCAAGCCCGAGTTCGAAGTATAAGCGAAATCGTTTGTATCAATTGTATCTGTCTGCCGTCAGGACGCCGAGTTTCGATACTATCGTTCCTGGAGTGGCCGAAGATCTATGGCTGCCGTTGCGCTAAGTTCAATTATTTGGTGCGTTCGTCCGTACCAAACCCACCCCCACTATGGCTGCCTGGGCGCGCCCGTGCGACGTGCCCGGGAGTGGGTCAGCCGCGCGGCCCGCGCCAGTGACCTGTGAGAGTGTGCAGCATGGAAACGGTACGCGTCTCTAGACGGACACGGAGGGGTGCAGTATTTTGGGAGTGGATCGTGTCACTGCTGGCAGGCGGAGGAATATTGTGCGAACAGCGGTAAACCGCAGCCAGCTCCAGCACCACCATTTGCAGGTAAGTCAGCTGGCACCCGCCACTACAACTACGAAGTAGCTGACCCGCACCTGAAGTAGGTAGTTGATGAGGGTCTCGCCGTGCGTCCAGGCGCTCTGGGTGCCGCAGTCCAGCGGCTCCCGGCTGACGTTGAAGCTGCCCGGCCCGCCGGAGCCGTAGAGGCTGTCCAGCGCTCTGGCCAGCAGCTCGACGGCGTCCCAGGTCAGGGCGGCCTCCGTCTGCGGGGTCAGGGCAGGTCAGGGCGGCCTCTGTCTGCGGGGTCAGGGCAGGTCAGGGCGGCCTCCGTCTGCGGGGTCAGGGCAGGTCAGGGCGGCCTCCGTCTGCGGGGTCAGGGCAGGTCAGGGCGGCCTCCGTCTGCGGGGTCAGGGATCAATGTCAGGTCAGGGCGGCCTCCGTCTGCGGGGTCAGGGCAGGTCAGGGCGACCTCCGTCTGCGGGGTCAGGGCAGGTCAGGGCGGCCTCCGTCTGCGGGGTCAGGGCAGGTCAGGGCGGCCTCCGTCTGCGGGGTCAGGGATCAATGTCAGGTCAGGGCGGCCTCCGTCTGCGGGGTCAGGGCAGGTCAGGGCGGCCTCCGTCTGCGGGGTCAGGGCAGGTCAGGGCGGCCTCCGTCTGCGGGGTCAGGGCAGGTCAGGGCGGCCTCCGTCTGCGGGGTCAGGGCAGGTCAGGGCGGCCTCCGTCTGCGGGGTCAGGGCAGGTCAGGGCGGCCTCCGTCTGCGGGGTCAGGGATCAATGTCAGGTCAGGGCGGCCTCCGTCTGCGGGGTCAGGGCAGGTCAGGGCGACCTCCGTCTGCGGGGTCAGGGCAGGTCAGGGCGGCCTCCGTCTGCGGGGTCAGGGCAGGTCAGGGCGGCCTCCGTCTGCGGGGTCAGGGATCAATGTCAGGTCAGGGCGGCCTCCGTCTGCGGGGTCAGGGCAGGTCAGGGCGGCCTCCGTCTGCGGGGTCAGGGCAGGTCAGGGCGGCCTCCGTCTGCGGGGTCAGGGCAGGTCAGGGCGGCCTCCGTCTGCGGGGTCAGGGCAGGTCAGGGCGGCCTCCGTCTGCGGGGTCAGGGATCAATGTCAGGTCAGGGCGGCCTCCGTCTGCGGGGTCAGGACAGGTCAGGGCGGCCTCCGTCTGCGGGGTCAGGGCAGGTCAGGGCGGCCTCCGTCTGCGGGGTCAGGGCAGGTCAGGGCGGCCTCTGTCTGCGGGGTCAGGCAGGTCAGGGCGGCCTCCGTCTGCGGGGTCAGGGCAGGTCAGGGCGGCCTCCGTCTGCGGGGTCGGATCAATGCCAGGTCAGGGCGGCCTCCGTCTGCGGGGTCAGGGATCAATGTCAGGTCAGGGCGGCCTCCGTCTGCGGGGTCAGGGCAGGTCAGGGCGGCCTCCGTCTGCGGGTCAGGGCAGGTCAGGGCGGCCTCCGTCTGCGGGGTCAGGGATCAATGTCAGGTCAGGGCGGCCTCTGTCCGTAGGGACAAGGCTGTAGATAACGCTGCCCACTGTGTTTCGGGAGAGGATCTAGTGTCAGGTCAGCAGAGCCTGCAAACTGACCTCAGCAACTCAAATATTTAAAATTGAATTTGGAAAGGTCTTATCACTACAATGACATTTACTGTCTTCACTATTGCATGCCCCCTTCCTTTGCTAGAGAATTGCTTTCCGACTAAACATCCGATCCGATCCGATCCACATGGTAGGTACAG